GTTACTGTTTAGAGAGTTTTTACAGAGTTGTTTAGGAGAAAACTTTTAGTTAAACTATACTGTCATCTTGTGGTGACCAATGCTTCTGGTTCAAATTCACACATGAAAGTTTTCTTTTCAAACTGAAGAATCTGGATACCATACAAATACAGTTACATTTCTTGTGGCTTCTTGGTAACAGATATTCAGGGTAGTTTTTTCCCCACTAATTCCAACGAGGTGTCTACCTCAGCAAATCAAGATGATATCCAGAAACAAAGGCATCCAAACTGACCCTCATGAAAATTTTGCCCTTGAATTCCTCAGTTCTGCAGCCTTCCTGAGACATTGTTACCTTGGTCAGTGTTCAATATTGTGCTGGTTTTGGCTAGGGTAGAGTTAATTTTCTTCCTAGTAGCTAGTATGGGGCTATGTTTTGGATTTGTGCTGAAAACAGTGTTGATAACACAGGGATGTTTTAGTTATTGCTGAGCAGTGCTTACACAGAGTCAAGGCCTTTTCTGCTTCTCACACCACCCCACCAGTGAGTAGGCTGGGATTGCACAAGAAGTGCTGGGACAACTGACCCCAACTGACCAAAGGGATATTCCAGACCATATGACGTCATGCTCAGCAATAAAAAACTGGGGGAAGAAGAAGGAAGGGGGGACGTTTGGAGTGATGGTGTTTGTCTTTCCAAGTAACTGTTACGCATGATGGAGCCCTGCTTTCCTGGAGATGGCTGAACATCTGCCTGCCAATGGGAAGTAGTGAATTAATTCCTTGCTTTGCTTTGCTTGCATGTGCAGCTTTTGCTTTACCTATTAAACTGTCTTTATCTCAACCCACAAGTTTTCTCACTTTTACCCTTCCGATTCTCTCCCCCATCCCACTAGTGGGGAGTGAGCAAGCATCTGTGTGGTGCTTAGTTGCCAGCTGGAGTTAAACTACGACAAATATCCAAGAGGACCTAAAAGCATTCCTTTGATCTAAGAGATCACATTTAGAAATAAAGACTTCAGCTTGTCTGCGTCTCTGAAGATAATTGGTATCAAGCACCAATTAGCTTCTAGCATATATCAAGCTTGAATCTTCACCATTCCTGTCCCTTGTAGTCATCCTCACTTGCACAAAGGCCGTTCCATATGTGCACAAATAAGTGGTGCCAATACGATGACATTAGACAGAAATTGCTTGGATATCAGTCTTGCATTTGCCACACACAAGTCCTTTCAGCAGTGTTCAAGTTTCGTAGAACCAATACAACTACTCTGTTTTGGAGCAAACCCCACCATAGTCACATTAGGGACTGTATGGCTGTATTGCACCCTGGCGATGGTGCTATGTCATATGACACCAAATCTATGCAAAACAAATGCCACTGAGGTTATTTGGTGCTCATATCCACCTTCCTCTGTATTGCCTAGCCAGCCCTGGTTTTGGTCTCCCTGTCCCTGAGCTGGACTTATCTGTAAGGCTGCTCTGCTTTAGTTGTGGGGAGGGCCTGGAAGTAGGCAATTCTCCTCTTCCCCAGCAAAGTGCCAGGGCAGAGCAAGGAGGTCAGGAAGGTCTATGGGCCTTGGATGGGATCAGCTTGAGGCAGAGGGGCTTGTACCCCAGAGGGATGGAAGAAAAAAATGGATGGGCATGTCCAGTGTTGCATTTTGCTTCAGTTTTTCAACCCCAACCAGATTGGACAGGCTGCAGAACATGGTGTTAGGTGATACAGAAAGGCCCCCGCCTCCACAGTATTCAATAAACCCTGATCTAGATGCTTAATAAGATCACAGTGTTTGCTGGCATGACAAAGAGTTTCTCCCATCACTGGACCTGGCTGGACCAAAAGTGCTGTGCCGGAAGCTGCGATGGGACACAGGCTGCAGTGACAGACTGCTGTTTCCTACATCAAAAAGACAGTCCTGAAATCCAGATGTGTCATCTTCTAAATCGTTTGGACTACTTCTTATGCATCAAAGCAGAAGGGTGAATTAGCCAGTGCTGAATTTAGGCTGGTGCCATTCAGCAGTTGCTAGTACATGAGACTGTGGATTTTGAGCAGGCTGGAGTTCACTATTGGCAGTGAACTCTGTCCTCACCTGTGACCTGCACGGGGGCTAAGAGCTTCTGGGATTATACTGGAACAGCCAAAGCTCTGCCCATTCCCTACCCTAAAAGTATCCAGTGCTCCTGAATACTAAAGACGATTGCATGATGATATATAAAAAAAAAATCTTTCTTTCCTAACAGGTTTGAAGACATGTAAATGAACAAGATTATTTTTATCCCACAAAGGACAAGAATAATTCCTCTGGCAGCATATCCTTGCAGGCAGCCAAACCAACATACTTCCTTTGGAGGCTGTTGCCATGGCATCTGTCCAATGTCTTCACAGCATCTTCCAGATTTCTGAGATCTAACAAGAAAGAAAGAGGAAAGGAGGCACTAGTTAAAAGACACACAGCAAGGTTGCTGGGAGAAATATGTCCCAGTCCAGCCTGTAGGATGTATTCATACTTTGAATTAATTGGGGGTTTTTTTCTGTATGGCATTTCATCCATAGGACACTGAGTTTTCTTTTTTGATTTTTGGCAAGGAAGACAGAATTGCTATAAAAATATTTTCATTAAGTCAGTCAGGGCAAAATTCATTTTACCTAACTTCAGCCATCTATGTGCCTAGCCTAAGGGGGCTGTCTAGGCTCCTCTTAGAATTAATGGAAGGAGAAGGGTTCCTCTCAAGGATGATTTATCCAGCCTACTTTAGACACCTAATTTAAGATGGGATGATTTACCCTTTGGAACCATTTATCTCTCTCCTGTAACTACAGCGGGACCATGGATGGACTAAATGTCTGGATTTTCAGGTGAGGTAAAATGAATATGAGCAAATACCTCTGCCTTAGGTGTTATTCCAGGGATAGAAATTGCCAATCAAAATGAAAGAGCTGAGTGAACAGCCTGGGCCATACATTTGTGTATCTAGAAACAATGCAGCTAAAGACAAAATGGCTTTTTGCCCCATCCCTCAACCTTAGCAGAAGTCAAAAGCCTCCCAGCACATAAATCAGCGCCAAAGGAATTCAGTGAGAGGCCATGCTCAGGAAACAATTGAGGATAAATTAATATTGAGACAACCGTACAAGGCTGGTTTGTCTAGGAGTAAAAATGCAGCAGTCAGACATGGCTTAATTGCTTTGGGGATTGTGCCACGGGATGATGCCTTTTTTTGGACAACGAGCTCCATGTTACAGAGGTTCAACTGTCCACATGTTCATCATGGAAGAGTTCCTCACAGTTTGCTGGCTTGTGGCAGGCCCAGACAGCTGCATTTTGGAATAACTGCATTTTTAGTCAGCTTCAGTAAACCAGAAGCAGAAGGAATGAGAACTAGCCTGCCAGATAAATACATACTTTTATCAAGAGCTGTTAGACAAGGTCATATAATTCTACAATCAAGGTTACATAAATTGGTTTTATCATCAATTTCTGACTTTGAGACAAGTAGGTGTTGAACTGGTGATAAGATAAACACAAATTTCTTCAAGTTCTCTCTGTACATGTTATTTCCCCAAAATTAACGCTTCTAAGATAAAATTGCCTATAGATTGTGAGTCTACTGAAGATGCGTGGTAGGCTGGCATGTGAGAATTTAAATGGTGCATCTGAATAAAAAACGATTTTGCATTAATGATGTCCATTGTGATGCTTTAGACTGCAGGCAGTCATGTGGCATGTGGGGGGCTGGGGGGGACATGGACAAGCAGAGTGTGCAGTAGGGGCTGCCTATTTTTTAAGGCAGTTCACTTTGAAAGTATGTATTACAGCCAAGAATACCCTGTCCCTGAATTTCAGTTATTAAAATAGTTTTCACTGAATGTGGAAATAGGGCCAGGACTTGACTCTGCAGCCTGAAGTGGAGCTGTAGGTACCTGTGAATAGCAGCATGGGCCCTATCACAGAGAAGACGCATTAGAGTTAAGAATTATGTGCCAGTAAGGCAACTTAGGTGTGCTAAATATTTTCTTGATCAGGTAGAGACATATTTACCCCCCGAGGGTCTCACACGGGACACCAGGGCTTTCGGGGACCCCGGTCTGTCCCAGCAGGCCGGGCTTGGCGGG